GGATGCGGTACTGGTAGCTATCCAACACACCGCCGCCGATTGCTGCACGGCTGCCCTCCTTGAAGGCCGCAGGGGCCTTGCCCAGATCCTGGTTTGTCATCAAGAAGGGCCGCACAGCCGCATGCGGACAAATGAGGCTGCACTTGTTGCATTGCGTGCACTTGTCCATGTCCACGACAGGCACCTCAGCTTCGCATCTTGGATCACACTGCGTGCAGGCATGTAGGAGGCACGAGTCGCCGTCACGATACCGAAAAGCGGTGCTTCAAGACAGGCCACGTTGATCGCAATTCCGCGCTTCTCGTACTGGCTGGTGCCGCATGGCACGCGGCCGCCCGGCACGAAGGCGCTCACAGGCAGCGAATTGCCGTCCAAGCTGTTGCACGGGGTCTGCACCTGCTTGGCGAATTGGTCCGCGTCCTGCACCTCCGGGAACATGCGCGGGCCCTTGGCGTAGGCAACTTGCCGAGCGGCGCGGGAGGCAGCCTCAAAGGAAGATCCGCACAGCACGTCGTGACTGTCGCGAAAGCATCGACGGAAATTTCAGCCCGGGTCCCAGGTGCCTCCTCGTCGGTTGACAGGTCGACCCAGGAGGCGGGGATCTTGACGGCGATGATGCCATCAATGGCTGCATCCACGCCGGCGATGTTCATGTTCACCACTTTGTCACCCTGCCATGGCCATGCCATCCATGGATGTGCCATAGCCAGAAGTGACAGAAGCTACGCGTGCTGTGCCAGCCCCAGCCTTCTTACCGTACATCTTCTTGATGCTCTTCTTCAGCATCTCCACGGCCTCATGGACTCAAGTGCGACACAAGGCCGCAGGACAGTAAGAAGCACTTGTCACAGCCTCCTCGTAGGGCATCACTGCGCTCAGCTTGAAGAAGACAGTCTGGCATGGGTAGGGAGGGATGCAGTATGCAACCCAATGCTGTTTCAGCTGCCCGCACCGAGCCTGCATGATCATGTTGATGCGCTTTCCAAGGCCAGCCTACCACAGGGACCAGTGGGAAACAGCCGTCAAGCGGCTTGCGGTCGTGCTCGCCCTGCCTTCACCGCAATCTTCGTGGCATCGATGATGAAGAGCTTGGCCTGGTCTCATCAGCGTACGCTACATGGAAAGTTAGGATGCAAAGGCAGACCTGCCTGCTTGGCTGCGAGGTCCTTGCGCATCTTGGCCGGCAGCTGTGCCTCCAGCTCGCTCTCGTCCCAGGAGCAGTTGATGACGCAAACGGCATTTGGCTTCAGGTATCTCGTCATATCCTGAACTTTTGAAGAGCTCCTGCCCACTCTGGAAACTGAGGCACGGGCTGTCGGTGAAATACGGAGGGCTGTGCCACCCAAGCTGCATACTGCTGCACATAGCTCTGCTTGTGGATGGCCATGTAGTCAGCTGCACGGACATTGTACGGGGCGTGGATGGGCTTGGGACCAAAGCGCAAGTGGCTGATGGTCACCCCTCCACTCTTCTTGGCGTCATACTCAAAGTATGCCTGAAGTCAGGACACCTCTTCCGAACGCTCACGTCCCTCTTTCCCCCCCCCGGCCTGCGCATGGAGCTCTGTGCCCAGTGCGATCATCTTGACTGCAGACTTGTTTGCGCCCACGGTGCCATCACTCCCCAGCCCATAGAACATGCATTCTGTGGTGCCCTCCGGCAGCACGTTGAGCCAGGGCCCCACCGGCAGTGACAGGTTCGTCACATCATCGTTGATGCCCACGGTGAATCGTGGCTTCGGCGTGTCCTGAGCCAGATTCTCGAAGATGGAGAGCACGCAGTTGGGCGTAAACTCCTTTGAGCCAAGGCCATAGCGGCCGCCGACCACCACGATCTCAGGATGCGCCGAGGAATGAAGCGTTGTGCGCACCTCAAGGAGCAGGGGCTCACCTTGGGAGCCCGGCTCCTTGGTCCTGTCCAGCACGCAAATGCGCTCCGTCGTCGTCGGCAACGCGGCCAGGAACCGGGCGTTGTCCCACGGCCGGAAAAGCCGAACTTTCAACACACCGACGCGCTGGTCCTTGGTCTTGGCGAGGTAGGAAGCCGTCTCGCCGCAGGTCACGGCCGCACTTCCCATGACCACTATGACATGCTTTGCTTCAGGGTGGCCCTCATAGCCATAGAGGGCAAAGTGGAGGCCAGTCTTCTCCTGCACCATCTTCCCCTTCTGCTCGAAGAGATCTGCGAGGCCGTCGTAAAACATGTTCCCTGCCTCCACGCACTGGAAGAAAATGTCGGGGCCTTGGGAAGTTCCCTGCACATGGGGGTGCCTGGGGTTCAGCGCCAGATCATGATGCTCTTTGATAGCATCCCAGTTGATGAAGGACTTCATAGTCTGGTAATCGATGAGTTTCACCTTGTTCACCTCGTGGCTGGTGCGGAAACCGTCGAAGAAGTGCTGCACTGGCACACGGCGCTCCATGGACACGAGATGTGCCACAAGGCCGTTTACCTGTGCCATCTCGACAGACTCCGAGGCAAGCATGGCCCAGCCAGTGGCCCGGCATGCCATCACGTCGCTGTGGTCACCGAAGATCGACAACGCCTGGCCAGCCAGCGCCCGGGCGGCCACATGCATCACGCAAGGCAGCAACTCGCCGGCAATCTTGTACATGTTCGGGATCATCAGCAGCAGACCCTGACCTTGACGGGCACAAAACTTATCAAAAGGTGAATCAACGGGGCAGGTTACATTAGGCCCTTTCATCCCAGTGGCTGGCGGTGAAGGTGGTGCTGAGAGCACCGGCTTTGAGAGCTCCGTGCAGGGCTCCAGCAGCACCCGCCTCACTCTGCATCTCCGTCACACTGAGCTTTTGGCCGTAGCAATTGATCAAGCCTCAGACAACGGCGCCGACGGGAGTACGGCCCAAATGCTGAAACCCTCCCTGCCCTTCACCCATCCATTCACCCGCCTTGCGCGGCCCATTCGTCCACCATCTCGCCCATGGGAGAGGATGGCGTGATGGGGTAAATGAAGGCACAGTCACTGAGGGCATAGGCCACGTGAGCTGCTGCCTGATTGCCGTCGATGCACGCCACCGAGCCCTGCGCGGCTTCGATGATGTCCGTATCCGCGCACTGGTGCACGATGGTCTTGTTCTCTTGCGCAAACATCGCCCTCTGCACCTGCAGAAGCAGATACCATAGGAGCTATAGTATCTTCATGTCTCTTCCCAGCAGCTTTGACCCCTCCGCAAGCACCCCAAACCCTAAA